CACAGCCCGACATGCCAGCCCCTGATGTCCAGTTAAACTGGCCGATAACTGATACCCAGCCTGCTCCTGGAAATCCTGTGCCCAGTGACCTGCCTTCCTTGATTCTCCTACACAAAGAGAAGTCTACCAGCAGGAAACCCAGCCAGCCGGTTTACTCCGGCAGTAGGATATTCAGCCAGTTACCGGACCCGGGCGGTGGAACATTTTGCCCACTAAGGACTGTTTGGAGCGTCCTGAGGCCGCTCCTTGAGGGGGGGGTTCTGTCAGGAATGGATTCAGCACTGGTGGTGGGACTCTCCTGCCGTGTGGGCTGCAGTACCAGAGCTGACCAGCGGGTGCTCTCAGCACTGGTGGTGGGACTCTCCTGCCGTGTGGGCTGCAGTACCAGAGCTGACCAGAGCACTGACCAGCGGGGGCTGCTACCAGAGCTGACCAGCGGGTGCTCTCAGCACTGGTGGTGGGACTCTCCTGCCGTGTGGGCTGCAGTACCAGAGCTGACCAGCGGGTGCTCTTAGCAGCCAGAAGCTCACAATCAGCCAAACCTGGGGCTGATTACAGAAAGGTGTATATAAGGCATGACCAGGCCTGTGCTCTGGGCCTTGGTGTATGTTTCCCCATGTGCCCCTGTATCCTGGTCCTAGTTCCTGTGAGAAGATACCTTGTTGCCGACCCTGCCTGATCCTGATTCCTGTTGACCGTCTCCTGTTCTGACTACTGGCTCATCCCTGACCATCCTTCTGCCTGATCCTCTGTACTGCGCTGTCCGTGAGTTACTGAACCCGGCTTGTGACCTTGACCATTCTCTGCCTGCTCCTTTGATACCTTGCTGCCCGCATGTTGCTGACTTGGCCCGTCTGACCACGCTAACTACTCTGCCATCCATCCATCCTGCACGGATCCAGCCGTACCTGCACATACCTCTGGCGGATCCCTCTATCACTAGCAGGTGTACTCGGGGGCCGCGACCTGGTTCCTGTCTGCTCCAAGTCCATCCCCACCATCAGGGGCCCTGGTGAATAGCAGACTGGGACTTAGACTCCGCGCCCTGGGGAATCCTGCCCTGAGGACCGCTAGAGGTACCACCAGGCAGTCGTTACAGAACCCTACGGCCGGCCTGACCATTCCACCTCTCCAGCCCTGACTACGCCTGTGTTCCTGCACCTCCTAAGATTAGTGGAAGGTTAGTTTGTTCACTGTGCGTTTTATATATATATATATATATATATATATATATATATATATATATATATATATATATCTGGGTGGCTAATAACCTGTATAATACTATACCTGAAACCTGCGTTTCCCTGTGTCAGTCCGCACCTTTCTGGTCATTCCTTGATTCCTGACAGTATTTGTACTTGCACTTGCACATGATTGGATGATGGAAGTTACCAGAGCTTTACCTCATTTACTAATTCCCTTGCAATTGAACAGCCTATTTTCCTTTAGTAAATCGACCCTCTACTCTCTAAGATTCTAAAACTTTCTGCACAACCAGCTCTGCTATGTCACTGGAGCCTGAAAACAAGAATGCACATAAACTCAGAAAATATTTGTTGTAAAACAGCAAAGGGTCCTTAGTTTTGAGCAACTTGGAAAAATCCAGGTCCCATTCCTATTTTGTCATCTCTAATTTGTCTTTAACCCTCCTGCTGCCACCAACATAGAAACTATGTCTGTAGCAGGAGGGTGGGAGATATACACACCTCCAGTGGCTGCAGCCGCTGAAAGTGTGTGTATATTTAACAAGCCAACTGCTGGCTGTCAGTTGGAAGAAATCTGATGGCTGGTTAGCCACCTGGTTGTTTCCAAACACCCCCAGTAATAGTCCTCCCCCCACGTGCGCACCCCTGCCATGTATCCCTGGCTCCATTTGACCGTGGGTGCTGCCGGGTAGAGGAGATGGAGCAGAGCAGACATTAGTCTCCTTCCCTCCCTTTCTTCTAGCTGACCCTAAAGCAATGTGTAAAATCCCTCTTTAAAGTTACACGTAAGCACTTGAAATCACCCCCACACTCTCACCTACATGCACATACGAACACAAAAGCACTTTCATGTATAGACATTGTGACATAAATGTAAGATTTGAGTCGCTGAGATGTGATCTGTAGAAATATGACATTGTAGATTTATCTTCATTCCATGTTAATAATAAGATGGGCTCAGTTTTCAGTCAGAGACATATGGTCACCAATTAGCATCTGAAAGGACAAAGCTTCCTCTAGGCTGGAGGGGACACCTAGATGCCAATAAAACTTGTCACCTACGTAGTCAGAATTTGTCGCCTTCCAGAAATCTAAGAAGAGGAACTCTAGACACTTCGGTTTCAGAGGCAGCGAGAGACCAAGAGAGGGCTCCGACGTGTCTAGGAGCTCTGACGTATATCAGCAGATCAAAGGAATATATTTAATTTCTCATAAAAGCTAAAATATTAGCTGCAAAGAGATGAAAATACTTCCTTCTGATTGGACACACTGAAGGCTACATCTGCATGTAAAACTGTATTTGTACCCTATATAGAATCCCATAGAAATGCAGAAAATGGTTATATGGCACCTGATTGCAACAGCTGAACAGTGATTGGTACTGTCGCGATCGGACTGATGCGCTGGTGTCGGAAATTCAATCCCTGACTTGGTGATTCAAACCGTTCCTGGTCCACTCGACTTTGGGCATTTCGGAACCCAGAATGTCCTGTGGGCTGGTACAGGAAAACCCACCAGAGTTGATTGGCCAAGGGCTAATGTCCAGCCTACGTCCATAAGTTTTATTTTCTGTTTTTATTCCCTTTTATTTTATAGTCAATGGCAAATTGTGTCTTCTTATATTTTTTGTATTTTCTGTAACTTTTTATACTTTGTACATATTTAATGCACTGCTCACTTTCGGGATATTAAATCATAAAATTAATAAGTGACTTCTGGGTACTTAAGCTTGGGCTCATATCTCTGGAGAGATTGTATTGTATTGCAGTGTCTTTATATTATCGGTCAAGTTCATTGCCTATCTGTATGCAATTGCACTGCGTGTTGGCAGATTGCATGCAGATTGTAAGGTAGCAGATCTGTGTGTGTGTGGTGGCCCAGCAGACCAGTCTGCGGACAAACTGTTGGGTGGTGGCAAGCTACCGTTTGTGGTGTGTCTGAGAAGGTGTGTAAAATGCATGACACTGATTGATTTTGGTCACTTTTTAACCAGTATTTGATGACACATGTACATACTGTAATAAAGCTGTAGTAAGCTTAAAACCAAAAATGTATTATATTGCAGCTTACCAATCATCAGATGTGGTGGCCGCATCAGGTTTCTTTTCATTGGCCTTCTTTGCTCTGTTTTCGCCTGGTGAAATGGCCACTAACACACTTCCTTTATTAGTGAGGTGCAGCTCTGTATGAATGAGCACAGGGGACACAGCAGACAGCAACATTGTCAGTCTGGAGGGGGGGAGTGTTAAAGCGATACTAAACCTACAACAGTAAAATAAGTCTGTATATGCAATAAAGCATGCTTGTTGTACTCACTGTGAAACCTAAGGGGTTATTCCTCTGCATTGTGTAAAATGCAGTTTGATCCTGACTTCTCTGATCCTCCCCTACTTCCAATGTCCCCCTCTTATCTCCTGATAAGACATATCGTGCAGAGTCACATGCTCAGTTCGGTATGTATTGCTAGAGAGGTTTTATTTCTTTGGGAGAGTGCATGTGATCAGCACAGGGTCAATCAGCACTGTCCAGACAGAGGTCAGAGGTCCTGCATTCTACTAGAGCAAAATGAAAACTCCTCCTACATGCTTTACCATGTGCTCAGCTGGACACTAATAGAAGTCCCAAGACTGATCTAACTACTGATGAGAAAAGGTATTTAGCAGTTAATATTTACTAACATAATTGCATTTCCATGTTGTATGTAATGTGGGAGACCAGATATAGTGAATGCAGGGTCCTGGGTTTAGTAACACTTTAAATGCATTAGCAGATTTAAATACATTAAACAAATTGAAGCCAAACTCCAGCTCACACTTTATAATCAGTTTCAGCAAACTGTTGTTTTCCTTTTGGGTTAAAGGTTTTGCATGAATAAATAAAAATTGATCATTTTAATCACCCCTGTAAGTGTTAGGTGGTTTGTCTTCTCCATGTAAACTGATACATTCTGCTGGAGAGCTTGGGCTTTTGAAAAACAGACTACCTGGCTGGATCAGATGAAAACGGAAGGAAGAAAGCCTAAAACAAAATTAAACTAGCATGGCCATCACATCTAAAAAACTGGTAAGCTGCAATATAACAAATGTTTGCTTTTGGGTTTAATATCACTTAAATGCTTATGATTAAGCTGAGAGATGACTATTTTAATGTAAACTGAGCTCTAGCTAAACAACAATTTTTTATTTGGGGTTCAATGTGTGCTTTTAGAAGGTTGTTTGTTGCACTTGTGATGGGGACAGTGTATATCTCATCTTATCATTTTCTAATTTTTCACATTTGCTGCAGTTATATTTCTCTAATAAATTATTACAAGCAACAAAGCTGAGTACATTTCTGTTTTTCTGTATTGTTCTATGTCCATTCATAAACCTTGTAATAAAGGCCTAATTTCCTCTCTTTTCTGTTATTTCTTTCTGAAACCTTTGTATACGGCCTGCCCATTATTGTCTAATTATAATTTCTCTGATTTATAATGTCACTCTTGTCACTCTGTTCACAGTAGTCTTGTAGGTTGTCTGGACTGCAAACCAATTTGTGGTATATTCTGTACTATGATCAATAAAATGTGAACTAAAAATAATTTATATAACAGTCCCTTTCTGCCAAAATCAGCAGATCCAGAAAAGCCACATTTCCTTGCTATATACCATATTTTTTTGTTCCATAAGACGAACCTGACCATAAGACGCACCTAGATTTTAGAGGAGGAAAACAAGAAAATAAATTCTGCACCAATGGACTGCAGACATATTACAGGAGATGACCAGAGACTGCAGACATAGTACAGGAGATGATCAGAGACTGCAGACATAGTACAGGAGATGACAAGAGACTGCGGACACAGTACAGGAGATGACCAGAGACTGCGGACACAGTACAGGAGATGACCAGAGACTACGGACACAGTACAGGAGATGACCAGAGACTGCGGACATAGTACAGAGATGACCAGAGACTGCGGACATAGTACAGGAGATGACCAGAGACTGCAGACATAGTACAGGAGATGACCAGAGACTGCGGACATAGTACAGGAGATGACCAGAGATTGCGGACATAGTACAGGAGATGACCAGAGACTGCGGACATAGTACAGGAGATGACCAGAGATTGCAGACATAGTACAGGAGATGACCAGAGACTGCAGACATAGTACAGGAGATGAGCAGAGACTGCGGACATAGTACAGGAGATGACCAGAGATTGCGGACATAGTACAGGAGATGACCAGAGACTGCGGACATAGTACAGGAGATGACCAGAGATTGCAGACATAGTACAGGAGATGACCAGAGACTGCAGACATAGTACAGGAGATGAGCAGAGACTGCGGACATAGTACAGGGGATGACCAGAGACTTCAGACACAGTACAGGAGATGACCAAAGACTGCTGCGGACATACTACAGGAGATGACCAGAGACTGCGGACATAGTACAGGAGATTACCAGAGACTGCGGACACTGTACAGGAGATGACCAGAGACTGCGGACACTGTACAGGAGGTGACCAGAGACTGTGGACACAGTACAGGAGATGATCAGAGAGTGCAGACCTTTTGAATTTGACAGGTACCCGCTCCCACTTCTGCGGAGTTGAACCACCCCCCCGTAGTGTTGTGGGACACGTGACAGGTCCCACACACGACTACAGGGCCATTCACAAAGCGCAGGGCTTCTCGCGCATGCGCAGTGGGCACCCGGCTGTGAAGCCGTAAGCTGTCACAGCCGGGTGCGCACATTGAAGAATCCGGCAAGAGGGAGAGAAGATGGCCGATGGAAGCAGGACACCGCTGGACCGAGGAACAGGAAGGACGAAAGAGCAGGTTCATTTGCACAGTAAAGCCGAGCGGCCGGCCCAGTATTCTAACACGGCGGTGGGAATACTGTGCTGGCCGCTACATATTCGCTCCATAAGATGCACAGGCATTTCCCCCCCATTTTTTGGGGGGGAAAAGTGCGTTTTATGGAGTGAAAAATATGGGTGTTTGTTGGCGCTGTGGGAAAGATTTTGGCTCCCTCTTCCATATTTTTTGGACTTGTGAATCCATTGTCCCTTTTTGGAAAGAGGTTTTGTCTTTTTTACAATTGTTATTGCATACCTCTCTCCCCTTTGAGCCCCTACACTTTTTATTGAGCTTGCCATTCCCAGGTCTTTCCAAGGCGGCCAGGAATCACATATTTTGATTGCGGCCAGAAGAAGCATTCCTGTGTTGTTTATCCGCTATACCTCTTTCGATGTCAACTCTGTTTAAAATTATTGCTGATGTGCAACATATGGAATACCTGACTGCTACACATACTTGCTCGACAGCTGCGTTCGAGGCAGTGTGGCACCCATGGGATAATATCTCCCCCTTCCACCTTTCTCCAACTGTACTGTTCTGATGGCCTCCCCACTGTAACTATGTGTCATTATGTTTGTAACCATGCAGATTTCACCATCGACGTGCTCCTTCTTTCCCTTTTGTCTCTTTTAACGTGTTCTTTGTATATATACATATATGTGAAAATCAATAAAAATTGTTAATACAAAAAAAAAAAATATGGGTGTATTGTAACTACTGAGGAATACTTTTTTCTATTTTTATATTTCATAAATGTTTCCAAACATTTCCTGCCATATAAACACACAAAAAAAAATCACACTTTCGTGATTTAAAACTTAAAATTTTAACTTCTAGCCATAAACAAATTTTAAAGACATGCATTTCATGCTTATACATGTTCCAGCCTTCTGAAAATAACTTGTAATTAATAATAAAGTGATTATTGGTCAAAAAGAAATAGTGCCATTTTATTTCTTTTGTATTTTGAAATATATTTTTCCTAATTTATATTTAAAACAAAGAAAACGGAAAATGTTTTATCATTTATTTTAAAAGAGAAGTATGGATTTCATAAAAAAAAAATATATACTCACCTAGGTGGATGAAGCATCGGTCCAATGCTGCATAACTCCCCCGCTGCTTCGAAGACCGAGAATTAAGCAATCAAAGATTTCTGGTCGCTCAGTTCTCAGCTTTCAGTAAGCAGAGCTTGGAGAGTGTCAGCATCTTGCTAAGAGCCTGAGCCAGCTGCCAGTCCAGGCATGTGGGTGGATCCTGACCATATGGTTGGGATCTTTTCATCACCTGACCGGGTCTGTGATGTCAGCCGACATAGATCTGGACTGGGTATGTGATCCATAGAAGTATAGCCAAAAAACGCTTTGTCTATACATCCTCTTTAAATGTTAATTATTGGAAATGGATTTTAAAGGTGCTCAGGAACAACACAACATAATTAAAATTGTACAAATGTACTCATTACACAAAAAAGATCAAATTAAAAAATATGGATTCATGGCAGGTATATTGGAAATCCCTCCCACTCATTGGAACCCCTAAATATCCCATGCCTAGATTCAGTTATATATGTTCACAACAATTTGCAAATTGAACAGCAGTTTTCTGACTCAATAGTAAAACAGTGCACTGGGATGTTCAAAGGGTGTTGTCGGCCACGATGTGTATCACAGGAGCACCCAGCTTCTGTAGAAGAAATGAGGAAAAATCATGATTGTGTAGATGGCAATACCAAAACAATTTATAACACTTAAAAAATTTACAAAATTACACAATTAGACCAATCACCATATTAAGTAATTTGCTCAACATCTGTAAACTTGGGGGACCAAAAAAGGGGTGGGCATGGACCTCAGATACTCTGAGGAGGCAGACGTGGGGGAACCAAAATAAGTCAGGCTAAAAGGAGGGGAGACAGATTATAAACACTCTAGTCTATCCTTATATACAGTAGACTGAATAGTAAAGTAGAAGCATGTGATTCCCACCTGTATAGTGGGGACCCCTCAGTTAAGCTGTCTCATATAGGGCTGGTAAGCAAGCACTCAATCATTTTTCAACAGGAACCACCCGTGATACTGTACATATCACTAGGGACATACTGAAATCAAATAAAGAAAAACAAAGAAAGCCCCCACACAAAATAAATTACAATCCATATATATCTCCCAGGCATTAAAGTGTGTACTAAACCCAAGACGCTGCATTCACTATATCTGATCTTCCATGGTACACAGAACATGGAAATGCAATTATTTTAGTGAATATAAACTGCTAAATACCTATTCTTATCAGCAGTATATACTGTAGCAGTCTTGTGACTTCTATCAGTGTCCAGCCCAGCACTAGCTAAAGCTTGTATAAGGAGTTTTCTTTCTGCTCTAGAAGGATGCAAAACCCCTGACCTCTGTCTGGCCAGTGCTGATTGGCCCTTTGATGAACACATGCACTCTCCCAAGAAAAAAAATAAAATAAAACCTCTCTAGCAATACACACTAAACTGAGCATGTGCAGAAGGGCTAAGGGTTTAGTCTGCCTTATCAGCATGGACATGTAAACAAGAGGAGGGGCAGAGAAGTAAGGATCAAACAGCCTTTTTACACAATGCAGAGGATTAACCCCTTAGGTTCCACAGTGAGTATAACAAGCAGGCTTAACTGCATATACAGACTGATGTTACTGTTGTGGGTTCAGTAACACTTTAAAAAAAAAAAACAATATTCAAATAATCAGATCTATTACCATATCTGGATAAAAGCGCGGGAATAATTAACTTAAAAAAGGAAACAGCCCAACACTCACTAGAGAGCATGTTGATCATTGGAAATGAAACAAGAATGAAGTATTCTGAAAGAAGGGACACAATCCACATTCAAACAATGGAAAAGTAATATAGCTAAACAGGACCCAAGAGAAAGACAGAAGGCAAAGACTGATTTACAAGACCCTAATCCGAACATTCAAAAGCAGCCCTCCATAGAATGAGCAAAACAGAAGCAGACAAATTGCCTCCACAACTGTTCTGAGCTGAAAGTACACCTGTCAGGGCAACTGCAACCTTTACCTCCTCCACAGCCCCCTCCTTTTATGTCCCCTTCCCAGGGAAGCCACATGTCAGTCTTCCATTTCCAGCATATGACATCATCCGGTCTGAAGCTCTGGAGTGTGGAGGCATGGATCCAGAAGGCCATGCATGTGCAAAGATGCCCGATCCCCATTAATAGGGAAGGCAAGGTGGCAGAGGAGCAGATGAAACACATGAAACAGGAGGAGCAAAGCAACCTTTTGACAGAGCACCCTCCCAGACCACTAAACACTAGGCTTGTCCCTCTGTAAGAATTCAGAGCCCCTAAATGCTTGCCCAGGCAGTAAAAAGGGGGAATCAAAATCATAATGACCCACTCAGAGGGACCCTGGAGCACACAGACAGTAATACACAATGCAAACCTCATTATAGCAAACAGAGAAAACCCAATACAAAATAATACAATATTGGGTTGAGCAAGCTCAAGCCCACTTTTGCACACGCTACTGGATAGGTTTCATGAGAAACTCATCCCTTTTTTCTGCCTGCCCTGTTTTGAAGGTACACATATGAAGTATCAGTTAGCAAGAAATATTCAAACAGCTGTTGCTTCCTTGTCTCATAATGCTCTGTTACAGCAACATAGTAGCTGCAGCCTTAATAAATGTTTTAAATAAATCATATTCTGTGATTCCAAAATATTAGTGCGGCGCTCTGTAAATAATAATATAATAAGCAACTAAAAAGTCCATAAATTCCAGTCCTGCTGTGATCACCACGTGAAATTAATCAATATTTCCGAAATCACCACGTGAATATTCAAATAAATCTTCAATTGTGCCGTGCTATCCTTTCAGGTGTGCACTTGCCCGAAATAATTGCCTTCCATTCTCATGGTTGGCAATTACGCTTTTGTATAAATATTCCTCCAAAGGAAAGATATTCTCTTAGGACACAATACGATTCCTTCCAGCAATGGTTCAAGATTGAGACCCGACATGGTGCAGTACCACTTAAAATCATTTATTCTCTGCCCGAGAATCTTACTTACAAGACATCTGAATAAATCAAGCCCAAATATATGAGTATATCAGTAATATCAGAGAGGGAAGGCCGCACAATGCTATCACCACTGTCGGTCCTCGCTCTCGGACAAGCTGCGTCACTTCCGGCTCTGATGTCCGGCACTTCCGGTTGCCGCTTAACCAAATCCTGACGCGTTTCGTCACTTCCGGACTTAATCATAGGGAGAATTATACTGGAGAATTTGAACCATTGCTGGAAGGAATGGTATTGTGTCCTGAGAGAATATCTTTCCTTTGGAGGAATATTTATGCAAAAAGCGTAATTGACAACCATGAGAATGGAAGGCAATTATTTCTGGTGAGTGCACACCTGAACGGGGAGCACGGCACAATTGAAGATTTATTTGAATATTCATGTGGTGATTTTGGAAATATTGATTAACTTCACGTGGTGATCACAGAAGGACTGGAATTTATGGACTTTTTAGTTGCTTATTATATTATTATTTACAGAGCGTTGCACTAACATTTTTGAATCACAGAATATGATTTATTTATTTCATGTAGTTTAATGTGGCAGCAGATTATTTGTTTTATTTACATTCACAGTTTCATAGAGCAGTTTGTGTTTTGAAGGTCATCATTTGACCTATATAAATACGTTGTTTATTTTAATAAATGTTTTTATTCGTAAAATAGAGACTTTGGCTAAACTGTAGAATAAGATATGTTTCGTATAAAAAAATAAAATAAATTGGTCCAAAGTCATGTGTCAAATATAATAAAAAGTATCTTGATTCTCTGGCATAGTTGTTTCACTATTAAAATAATAGGATACTGTCACCATCCCCTGCTTATAATCTGTACTATGCAGAGAAACATACTGTATCCAATTCATATTTAATTGATTTAAATTTTTATTTTAGATTTAGATTTTTTTTTTAAATGAATAGCTCTTTTAGTAGCATTTGTTAACTCATATTTTCAGATAAAAATCAATATACCCCCCAATTTGGTTAGTCAGCTATTTGATTCCAGATGTAATGTCGTGACCTGAGAGAAATGCAGACATTTTTATCAGCTTTCAGCATTAA